CCTAGGCGTCGCTTTCACTGTCCCAAATCGCTGAAACCTGACCGAAAAAGGATAGCGAGAAACGCCGTGGCAGAGTGGCAGCCGCCGTGCGTCGGGGTTGGCGTACCTGCGCTGCATTAGGGACCGCAGCTTGAACCCAAGCATGCTGCGTTAGTAGAGGTCACGAGGGACTGAAGTAGGTCACAGCTGTTGAAAAAATGATGATGGCAGTACCGGCCTTCCTCTGAGGGAGTTATTTGGCAGCGAACTGGAGGCGTATGAAAGGTGATATGGGCGCCTCGGCCGCCAGACGCTCGCTGCCCTGTGGTATTGAGATGGTTCGCTTTCCACAGTACACAGCCACTAGAGGACTGCTAGGGCCAAGCTACCTTTAGCTGTTCAACATTGCTGAGAAGATGAACATTGTGCTTCGAGCATCATCTGAAAAGAGAGCGTAAATTAAGTGCAGCCTGACCCATGTCGCTCGTTTGGTGGAGTGTATCACCACCGCATCGAAAGCTGTTGGGCGCTCCTGTGGCTGGTCTCGCCGGGAAGTCAAAGTCTGTAACGTTGACAGGCAAGTTTGCATAGTGTCGCGGGTGCAGAGAGGAGGACTGGCATCCTGTTGGAGGAGCACATGTACCAGTATTGTGGAGGGAATGCCGGGATCTTGTGTGTTCGGTACACAGCATCGGATGTGGTGGTTGCTCAGCCGGACGCACCCTGCAACGCGATGAAAGGATGCTTCCTATCTGTACAGTCAGCCGAAGGGACGATGATTAAGATCTATGGCAACTTCATGTGATCCCTCTGATTAGGGCAAAGGCGAGGGTCGCAACACTCTTGTCTGGCGGCTTGCGATCCCGAAGGCATGGGAAACATGGTCGGTAACAGTGGGCACCAGGCCGGCGGAGAGACGGAATCAGCGAGAGTTTGAGACGGGCGTGGGCGGGGGATTTCGGGCCAGAGCTGCGCCAGATATCGCAGACCGCAAACGGAAGTACCGGAAGTGCCGTGGTTTCCTTGGGCGAGACGGATAAGCGTCTCCACAGATAAGAGACCCACCGTTTGAGAGGATAAAGGGAAGGAACAAGGAGTGGATGGCAAGAGCCAAGTAAGTACCTTCTTCAGGTACCCTACTCAAGGTACAAAGGGAAGAAGGAGGTATCGAGGGATGTACCTCAGACTCTCGAACCTCAAGGAAGGAGCAGTTATAATATTTGTCGATGATTCGCCGATTCGCTCCTCCACTCGAGTGGGCAAGTGCCATCTCCATACGGGACCCAATGTCGTCCGTCTTCTGTTCTTTCCCGAGTCCAGACACAGAGGTAACTTCATAGTTGCGCCATTGAGGAGAAGGAATACTGGGGGCAGAGCCGTTTTCTTTGGAGACCAGAAACGGAGACGACCCCCACCAGAAACACAATGCTGGGCCCAGGTGGAGGTAGCTTCTGCCTGACACAACGTGGAGAAGTACATGTTCCAGCAGATTCCGGATGTCTCTCGCCTCTACATGATGGACCCTCCCAAGCAACCCAAGGTTCAAACAGCCACAACCGCAAGACATCATCGTGAAGTTCATTCAACACACACGCAACGTGCTCCAGTTTGGTGACACAACATGAGCATAACCACATTCGACTATCGGGGCTCAACTCGGCCTAATCCACTCGACTATCCATATCGACTGCCAATCTCGAGTGGTTCATCCAGGCATCACCAAGAGTCATCGCATACCTACCACACAGGCAGGGGAGGGAAGTAAGCGAGAAGCGACGGGCAATCGAAGCTGAGCCCTTGCGGCCCAGCTTTCTCCTGTTGACGAATCATCCTCACCAAGGTCAACAACTTCAGACTCGCGTTCGGGATCGCAGGCAGAATCTCATTTCCCAAATGTCCCGCCTGCGTCTTGTCTTGATGTCCTTTTTCGCTCAAGAGGTTGCAGCCTTCCTGCAGGTGTTCGTCGGCAACTGTGGGCTGTGGAGGTCTCCAACAGCCTGAGGAGTACACGGGGACACGAGGAGAGAGCAAAGAGGTTACCTAGCGCCCCCGCCGTGCCGCATTCTCTTTCTAAACCTTGGGCTCAAGCATCGCCGGTTCTGGTTCTGCAAAATGCACCATCCATCACCGTCCTTACAATATGAACTGGTCCAATCATCACGACGGGGCTACCTTCACGAGGCGGACCGTATTGGCCGACGAAGCCCCATATCTTCGGGCCAAAAGCAGTCGAGGCATACCAACGCCGCCTGAGGCCCGGAATTCCCACTTCTTGTCGTCTTATCGCTCTCGGATTCTCCAGCCATGACTGGTCCTGATGAGCTGCCTCCTTCTGGCACCCACAGCCTCCGGCCTGCAAACCACAAAACCCAACAAAGTTGCCGCCACCGTACAAAGGTCACTACAAACACGCTGGCCATGTCTCCGAATCTCCGCTGCACTTGGCCCTCTTGGTCACCGTCGGCGTCAACAAAGCGAGAAATTGCGGATCCCAATCGCCTGGGCGCGGCGACGACAAACCCCAAAGTGGCGCCATGTCGACAGCTCCACGAATCGCAGTCTCGCGTTTGTGGCCTGCATCCTATGCAAGGGTCTCCTAGGCGGACAGGCCTGACGAGGAAGAACAGCCGCCGCCGTAATTTATCCCTCAAGCTCCAGATTCCACGGTAATCCGTCCCGTTTCATGGCTGAGTCTGAGTTCGCACATTTCGCCAGCACAAGCCGCAGGGCAGGCACGCCAAAAGGACAGAAGGAGGGGCACTCGTTAGAACGTATCAGTGGACTGTACTCCGTACACAGGCCATCAATGATCAAGCCCACCGAGGATGGGCCCCGGATGCCGCCTTCTGATTCGACCACTGATCCATATCCAACTCTCACGATCGCAGCAATGCCGCCTTCATCTAACTCTCTGACGAGTCTCCGGTTGATTATCGGACGTGGCATTGCATAGCGCTGAGCCAACTTACTTGCGCCGAGTGGCAGGCTGGCCCTTTCATCTGCCACGAATCCTGCGAACGCACTCTAACAACCCTATGCATTCTCCAATTTCCACGGTTCCTCGGCCCTCTCGGCGGGCCGTTGGACCATTCATCGTGAGGCGGCGCGGCGAAATTCAGGAACAGGCCACGGAGGCACCAGCCCCTGGCAAAACGTAGTGCGACTTGTCGGTAGCAGGTTACTGATCCACGATTTCGATTTGCGATCCGAGATGCTACGATAAGGGAAGAAATGCCTCTTCTAACCTACTCCGTACCCCTCCTTGGCAACCCTTTCGGATGCTGGATACACCACTATTGTTGCTCCTCGATACACCTGCCGCATCGGCAAAGTCCACGCGCAATATTCGATGCCCATAGCTATTGCCAACGGCAACACCCATTCTCTTCATATCACATTAGATCGTTGCCGCGGCCAGCCACATGTCCCGAGTCGACTACCATGCTGTTGACAATTCAGGGCTCCTGCGGTTCCAGACCGGACGGAACCGGCATGGAAATCCATCCATTTGCCCACGTACCCGTCCATCCACCACTACCACTAAAGAGATGGAGGGATTCTGGGGGTTCGGTTCCGTACAGCGGGCGTACGGTATTCTCCGTGGATAGGCAACAGTACCTAGTATTCAGGATCAGCCAGCATCAATGTCTCGGCTACCCTATTTCGAAGCGATACAACGAATGCTAAAGCACCAGAACACCAGGGCATCAAAAAAGCCTCATTATGTGTGATTCCTGCAGACATACACACTCAGCACCACAAACAGGCCTAGGCACACCTGTACCTTGAACTTCCCAGCACATGTGATGCTGGTGAAGGGCCACGGATGACCGTTTTGGGCCTTACTGCGTATCTCAGGTACTCACTCGCCTCTCCGAGCTGCCATCAACTGTCACTCTACCGTGCTTTTCAGATTCAGTGGATCTTCCTATTCTAAAGTTGTCTGACGGGCATGAGAGCCGATAACTTCCCACCAGCCAGAAGCGAAGATAGCAGAAAAGAATTTTAGGAGTAACTCTAGAGACAAGGCATGTGCTAATACAAAATGATTCCTCACATGCGATGGAGACACAGTCATCAGGCCGGCATGGCTGACACCGAGATGTCTCTGCCGTCTATTTGCAAACCAACAGGTATTAAGCGAACAGTCAACAATGGCAGAGGGATAAAGGCTGCCGACAAAGAGCTCATGATGATTGGCGAAGGATGCAAACTACGGACATCCTTTCTCCCCCTTGATTTTCCTGTGCCTCAAGGCTCAAGGCCTATCCCCCATTCATCCACAATCGGCATCCATTCCAAGTCCAACCCAGCCTGGCGGAGGGGCAGCGAGTCTGCAACCCCTCCATGGACCACACTCCGTACCCTCGTCCCCTCTCAGCAGTTGCATCACTTTGGACTGCGCCCATTGTTACTTTCTCCATAGTGTTCCCTCTGACGGCACGCCCCCCTCTGCAATCACCCCTCAGTGGGGACGTTAGGCTGTACTCCGTACTTGTTGACGAAATGCTGCATGTTCGTTGGCTCAAAGGGCGGTAGCCAAAGAGCTAAGGCGGCGCCGACTCTGTTTCAATGAAGCGGAGCCTTGCGGACAAGGTGACGGGATGGACTCAAGAAAGCTGGCCTGTCTATTTGCCGCAAGGCCAGAAAATACTGGGGATGATGGCATGGCTGGGGTTGAAGGGGGATGCGGTGTTATGTCATTGCTCTGGGGGGCAGTCCTTGACCATTGACACAGACACTCTGAGGTCTTTTGGTGGGAGCCCGCCCAGATGTACCTAGTACTCCGGGTACGTGATGATCTCAGTGCGGGAAAAAGGAGTACATGAACAATACGTACCTGCCCTCCCGGCCCCCGATGTACCTTTACGTGCGATGAACCGTCCAGAAGTACCTGAGGTAACCTTTCCTCATCCTTACGTCCCGTCATGGACGACGTATTGCATGGGTCCCCCTCCACTCCTTCATGCTTTCCCCTTCCAGCCGATGCCCCCACTGTAATGAGCCTTTCACACGTCAAGGCCATCCCATGGTGCCTTCCCAGACACACTCGCCGTCCATTACATCGTCGTGGTCCTTCTCGTGAAGGCGACACGCTCAGATTATAAAGACAACCTGTTCCCCCCTTTGATCACAAGTTTTCCTTTTCACCATTCCATTCAATATCCCACTCACATACTCGATCTTGACCGACCTTGATAAACCAAAACATTTCCAGGCTTAAACAGTCGCCTTTTATTCTATCAAACCACATCCAATAACCCCCCACCCTTTCATTATCCACACCTTACACACACGCCCAACATGTCAACACAACAATTCACTAAGAAGGCCGTCCACTTCGGCGCCGGCAACATCGGCCGTGGATTCGTTGCCTGCTTTCTCCACAACTCCGGCTACGAGGTCGTCTTCGCCGACGTCGCCGATGCTCTCATTGACAAGCTGAACGAGACCCCTTCATACCGGGTTATCGAGGTCGGCGCCGAGGGTACCAACGAGAACACCATCACAAACTACCGCGCCATCAACTCAAGAACACACGAGGCAGAGCTGGTCGAAGAGATTGCCACAGCTGACGTCGTCACGTGTTCCGTCGGCCCGAACATCCTCAAGTTTATTGCCCCTGTCATCGCCAAGGGTATTGACAAGCGTCCCAGCGACCTGGCGCCCATCTCTGTCATTGCCTGCGAGAACGCCATTGGCGCCACCGACACCCTTGCTGAGCACATCAAGGACCCTCGCAACACTGCCGCCCACCGCTTGGAGGATCACCACGAGCGTGCTCGCTACGCCAACTCCGCCATCGACCGCATCGTTCCTGCTCAGGACCCCAATGCTGGTCTCGATGTCACTCTCGAGAAGTTCTACGAGTGGGTTGTCGAACGTACACCCTTCGAAGAGATCCCCAGTATTGATGGTATCAACTGGGTCGATGAGCTCGCTCCTTTCATTGAGCGCAAGCTTTACACCGTCAACACTGGCCACGCCACTGCTGCCTACCACGGTTACAACCGCGGTAAGCGCACCGTCTACGATGCGCTTCAGGACAAGGCCATCATGGCTGAAGTTCGCAAGGCTCTTGAGGAGACCAGCAACCTGATCATCAGCAAGCACGGCATCGACGAGAAGGCTCAGCGTGAATATGCTGCCAAGATCATTCGCCGCATCGGCAACCCCCATTTGGAGGATGCTGTTGAGCGTGTCGGACGCGCGCCTCTTCGCAAGTTGAGCCGCAAGGAGCGCTTCGTCGGCCCCGCGGCTGAGCTTGCCGAGAAGGGTGAGGACTGCACTGCTCTGCTCCGCGCAGCTGAGATGGCCTTCCGCTTCCAGGATGTGGAGGGTGATGATGAGAGCAAGGAGCTTTCCAAGCTCATGTCTGAGAATTCTCCCGAGGAGGCTGTCACCAAAATTTGTGGCATCCAATCTTCTGAGAAGATTCACCCCATGTTGGCCGCCGTCGTCCGCAAGGTCCAGGCCGACAGTGAGGAATGACTCACCGGAAAGCTTTGACGTGTAACGATTAACGGCTAATTAACGGGCATGATTTTTCGGAGTTTAGCATATATCACTGGGACAAGCATGGAGTTTGAGGATATCACGGCAGCGCAAATTTCAGCGCTATTTCTGAGGAAATCCGAGCTACATGGCAGGATCAAGATTCATAAATCTGAGCTACAAATTCAAACACTTTACAAAATTGACAGAATCGTCTACCTCGCGAATCGTGAATGATGACCCCGAAAGAAACTTGTGAAGACGGCCTAGGCGTTGAAGAGTGTGCATGTGACAAGAGACAATACAACTAAGATACTCTCATGGATCTTACATGTGATAATTGTGTATCAAGGTCAATGGAGCTCAGCAGACTTTGTTTGAATCCAAAATGTTAAAGACGCGTGGAAACTCCCATATGAAAAAGAGCCGTCGCAAATTCTTACCAGTTGCCTTCTGAGGGCATTCAGAAACGAGGTTTCTACTGTAGTACAGGCCGTGGAAGTGAGTGGCTGGTGTGCTGCCACCTACCTGGTGACTGAGATGTGGCTGATGGTGTGGGTGTGGCTTTGGCCGGCAGATAAGATAAGCGATGCAATTGAAGGGCACCTCAGTTTACGTGGCTCAAAAGTCTATGCCTTAGGCAAAAGCCACATCATTCAGGCACCAATCAGCTCCTGAACCTGGCGACGGTAGGGACACATCTGTTGAAGCTCGAAATACCGACTTGGCCAAAATTGCGCCTGCCAAAGCTCTGGAAGCCATCAATTCCCACGACACAAGCTGACGAGGCTCCCCGACTCTTTCCTCCGCGACCGGCTTCCAGCGGCCTCTGCTAATCCTCTCTCCTTTTCTCGAATTAGTCGGACAGCCACGTATGATTCCCCTTTAGGTGTTCTATCCAGCGCAGGAACCACTCTTCCCCCACTTCGTTTCTCGAGGACACCATCACCTTTCCTTCAACTTTCTCCCTTGCTGGTATTCACGCATAGGTCGTCAACATGAAGGTCGACGTGAAGGTACGAACCAGACCGAATGGAATTCCTAAGCTCTGCGCATTGATCGAGCAAGAGCTATTGAGTTAGCCAGAGCTGCAGCTGCATAGCTCTCGCCAGCCTGTCGTCCCCTGAATAGCTCTGGGTAGCTGACTTATTCTTTCCAGCGACAATTGTTCGCCCGCAGCGAGCGGGTGAAGGGCATCGACTTCCACCCTCAAGAGCCATGGATTCTTACGACTTTGTACAGCGGCCATGTCTACATCTGGTCATACGAGACTCAGCAGATCGTCAAGACCTTTGAGCTCACCGATGTCCCTGTCCGAGCCGGCCGGTTCGTCGCAAGAAAGAACTGGATTGTCTGCGGTTCCGATGACTTTCAGATTCGTGTATACAACTACAACACCTCAGAGAAGATCACCTCCTTCGAGGCCCATCCCGATTACATTCGCGCCATCGCCATCCACCCGACACAACCTTTCGTGCTGACCGCCTCCGATGACATGACGATTAAGCTTTGGGACTGGGAGAAGGGCTGGAAGTGCGTCCAAGTCTTTGAGGGCCACGGCCATTACGTTATGGGCCTCGCCATCAACCCCAAGGATACCAACACCTTTGCTTCCGCATCCCTTGACCGTACTGTCAAGATCTGGAGTCTCGGCTCGGCGACGCCCAACTTCACTCTCGAGGCCCACGAGGCCAAGGGTGTCAACCACGTCGACTACTACCCTCACTCTGACAAGCCCTATCTTCTGACGACATCCGACGATCGCACCGTCAAGGTCTGGGATTACACCACCAAATCTCTGATCGCCACCCTCGAGGGCCACACGAACAACGTCTCTTTCGCATGCTACCACCCCGAGCTGCCAGTCATCATTTCCGGTTCCGAAGACGGCACCATCAGGATATGGCACGCAAATACATATCGATTCGAGCAGTCTCTCAACTATGGCCTGGAGCGCGCATGGTGCGTTTCCTACCAGAAGGGCAAGCAGGGCGTAGCTGTTGGTTTCGACGATGGTGCTGTCGTTGTGAAGCTGGGTCGTGAGGAGCCAGCCGTGTCAATGGACGCGTCAGGAAAGCTTGTTTGGGCCCGCCACAACGAAGTTGTCTCTGCCATTATCAAGGGTGGAGGTATGTTGCGTCTAGTCTAGAATCTCAGACCTTTTGCTAACACTGCTAGATGCCTCGATCAAGGACAACGAGCCCATTTCCCTTCCCGTCAAGGAGCTCGGTACCTGCGAAGTGTACCCCTCGACTCTTGTACACAACCCGAATGGTCGATTTGTCGCAGTCTGCGGAGATGGAGAATACATCATCTACACGGCTCTGGCTTGGCGTAACAAGGCCTTTGGCTCTGCGCTGGACTTCGTCTGGGCATCCAAGGAGAACACCAACGACTTCGCCATCCGAGAGTCTGCAACCAGCGTCAAGGTGTACAAGAACTTTGTTGAGAAGGCTGGCGGCCTCGATGTCGGTTTCCAGGCTGAAGGCTTGACTGGAGGTGTCCTTCTCGGTGTCAAGGGCCAAGGGGGTATCTCATTCTTTGACTGGCAGACCGGTGGTCTAGTCAGACGCATTGAGGTCGAGCCTAGAGAGGTTGGTTTCTTGCTGCGCTGCTTCGGGTCCATGTGCTAACTTGAACAGGTGTACTGGTCTGATAGCGGCGAATTGGTCGCCCTCGCATGCGAAGACACCTTCTACGTCTTGCGTTTCTCGCGCGAAGCCTATGTCGAGGGTGTCCAAACCAACCAGATTGACGAAGATGGCGTCGAGGCCGCCTTTGAGGTGATCACGGACATCAACGAGAGGTAAGCTGTCTGTCTACGCCTCAAACAACTAGATGCTAATGCTCAAGTAGTGTTCGCACCGGAGAGTGGGTTGGAGATTGCTTCCTCTACACCAATAGCACCAACCGGTTGAACTACCTTGTGGGCGACCAGACTTACACGGTATCGCACTTCGACCAGTCCATGTACATCTTGGGTTATATTCAGCGTGATTCAAGAATCTACCTGGCTGATAAGGACGTCGGTGTCACCTCCTTCTCCTTGTCCTTGCCGGTGCTCGAGTACCAGACTCTGGTTCTTCGTGACGATATGGAGACTGCACAAGAACTCTTGCACACGATTCCTGCAGACCAACTCAACAAGATCGCACGATTTTTGGAGGGGCAGGGCCACAAGGAGCTTGCGCTGGAGGTTGCTACCGATCCCGAACACAAGTTTGACCTCGCTCTCGGACTGGGTCAGTTGGATACTGCTCTCGAGTTAGCGAGAGAGGCAGATGTTGAGCACAAGTGGAAGACAGTCGGAGACGCTGCCCTTGCCGGATGGCAGGTGGCCGTGGCGCAAGAGTGCTTTACACATGCGAAGGACCTTGGCTCATTGCTCCTTCTCTACTCTTCCACATCCGACCGCAGTGGCCTGTCAAAACTCTCCGACCAAGCGCAAGAGGCCGGCGCTCACAACGTGGCATTCAGCTGCAAGTGGCTGCTGGGCGACGTTGCTGGCTGCGTGGAGATTCTTACCAAGACTGGACGGTTAGCGGAGGCTGTCTTGTTCTCGCAAACATACAAGCCCAGTCTGACGGCAGATGTCGTCAAGGAGTGGAAGGAAAGCCTCGAAAAGGGCAAGAAGGGCCGCGTCGCCAAGATGGTCGGTGCTCCGGTAGAAGACGAAGACCTGTTCCCCGAGTGGGACGAGTGGCTTCAACTCGAGAAGCAGGGTGGCGCCGCGCCTCAAGTCGCCGAGGTCACGAAGGTCAACGGAACAGACGCGACTGAGGAGGCCGAGGAGGCCGAGGAGGAGGCAGAAGAGGCAGAAGAGGCCGATGAGGACGCCGACGAGGAGATGGCCGAGGCGGAAGAGGATGAGGAGTAGGTAGCCCGTGTGCTCGGTATCTCAAAACGCAATTTGATTAGGGACGGTGCGGGGATCGTAAAAGGCCTAGATGTCGAATGGCCCTGCCTCGACGGGCGTTGACGGTAATGATCATGCCTTGCAAATAAATGGAAGATGTTTTTTGTGTCATGACGTTACGGTCTCGCCAGTAGATCCGTATGTAAAAGTATATTATAACATGAAGCCTCTGAAGTAATGATGTTCCAGTAGCCGTGGTTCGAAGTATGTGGTCTAGAGCATATCTCACACCCGCTGACGTGAATGATTGTTTCCGAAAATATCGCCCATGTCGTTCACAGTAACAAACTCAAACCTCTTGACATCCATAGCCTTTTGTCGAAGGGCATGACAGTTAAGTCCTCACAACATCGAATCCGCCACACACGAAACCACGATGCTCAAGCTCAATAAACCAAGTTCACCTCCCCTTCTGAAGCCGTTCTTAATGCCCAATCTTCAACACGATCGAGACCCCAGATACAAGTAAACAAGTGCCTCGCAAACTCATCAACATCCGCCGCGGCCGCATTATGAAGCAACCCATCGCTATCGAGCGAAGGCACAAAGAGATTCCGATCACCGCAGCCGTTGGCATCGTCGTCCTCGCTGCACTCCGCCCCCGGGCGGTCGGCAGCAGCACCAACCCTGGTGCCGGTACCACCTCTGCCTCGCCCGGCCCTGGCCCCCTTCCCGGACGTCTCTCGACACAGCGCCGCCCACCGCGGAGCCGAGGGCGCGTCCCAGAGGCCCGCACGGGCGGTGAAGAGGGCGCCGCCTGAGCACTCGCCCCATTTCCCCTTGAGGGCATTGTACACGCCCAGAGTGCAGACGACGATGATCCAGGTGCGGCGGACAGATTCGGAGAGGACCCAGAGGTTCCAGGTCCAGAGGTCGCGGTTGAAGACTTCTTCTTTTGGGTGGTTGGGTTTGTCGCCGTTATTGTTTCTGCCTGGTCTGGCAGCGTTGGCGGCGTTGGTGTTTGCTGTGACTTGGTCTGCTAGGTCCGAGTCCCTTTGTGCTTGGCATTGCCATGTTGAAGGGGGACATTGGCTCCTGTAGAGAGTATCGGCGTCTCTTTGGGCGGATTCCCATAGTTGTTTTGACCAGAGATCTAGGGTAGGCAGGTGTTCTTCGGCGGCGGCGCGTAGGCTTACCGAGCCGTCGAAGAGGCGGATGATGGTGTAGACGTAGAGCGCATGTACGCGAGCTAGATGATCTCTCGTCTCGAGTAATGGAACGGACATGGAGTCATTGCCCTCTACCGCGGGCTGACTTGCCAGCAGGGCCGTGACGCGTTCATCCAAGATTCGATGGACAAACGCCTCATTCAAAGACGTCTTGTGGAAGTACACCGACGCCGCGGCAAAAGCGTCCTGGACGCATGATGGGAAGTGATTACCCTCGGTGTAAAGACTGCGGTGGATAAAGGGGTTGTGACCGTCCATCACCCACCGCCGGACCCAGGCCTGCAAACCGCGGGTGAAGTTGGTCAGGACGGAGACGGGGTAGGCGTCGCGCGGGGGCGCGGGCCAGTGGTCTATCCTCCATGTTTGGGGGGCGAGGAACCACTGGCTTCCTGCGAGGGAGGCAGCTACGGAGGATTTGAGGCGAGGGTAGTCTGGTTTGGTGATGTAAGGTTCATGGTGTAGCTGCTGCTGCTGCGGAAATGTTGCGGGCTTTGGTGGCGGGAGGGAGAAGGCTGATACTGCTGAGAGAGAGAGGTTTGGGGTGGTGAACTCTAGGTCTGACCAGGGCATGCTCCAGATGCCGTTTGTCAGAGGGGATGCGTCGAAGAGGAGCGTATCTGGCACCGTTGCCGGAATGGAGTGCTGCTGCTGTAGCGATACCGGGGACGGTGCCGGTGGGTCAGAGAACGGCAGCGGCTTGAAGGTCTCGGGCCGCCGGCGTCGTTTTGTGACGGGGTAGTGGCAGTCCACGTCGCGGTCGTCGCAGCGGGAACATGATGGTAGGCCTTTATCGCAGCGGCGTTTGGATTCTGTGCATGCTATGCATGCCTTTTGCTTGGAGAGGCGAGTCATCTCTCGATACTTGCTTCTTTGGGTCGACAATGGCGGAGTGAATGAGGCTTCCCCCGAGTTACATCAGATGAGGTGCTCAGCTGTCAAACTGTGTCTTGGATTGTATTAAGCCGTGTTTGTCATCATAACGATCTCGCAACAGATCCGAGACTATGATTGCTGAAGCAGAAACCGGGCAGAAGAACCTATGAGTTGAGAGGATGACGGCATTTGTCAGCGCTAACAGCCAAGGCGCGGGCTCGGGACGCCGTAAGCAATGTACGGAGTGGGGCCACCGCGCAGCGCCGGTGCGGGTTTTGCGGGTTTTCAGCGGAAGACTTGCGGGAAACTTGCGGGAATTCTGTGCGGGTGGTTTGCGGACTCGGCTTCCCGGCTGCAGCGATTGGGCATGTCGGATTTGAACGGATTTTAGCCATCGAAAGGTTTTTGGATGGCTAATATGATGACAAACTATGGATCTACAACAACGTTGAGCGATTGATCACGTCTTTTGCTCATTGAATCGGTAAGAATGAAGGGCTAGTGTTTTGTGTTACCAAGAGCACTAGCAAACGATATAAAGCTGCAATGATTCTACCAAATGAAGTATCCCTTAGATATTGAAACCAGATCATCAGCTTCTTCATTCTTGATATCGCATCAAATTCAATAACACCTTAAACCCCTTCCAGATACACCCAAGAGACCTCTCAAACCACTTTCAACATGGATAGCGATATTGGCGCCGCCGCTTTCGCAGCACTGACTTCCACCTCCATCTACGAGACCGGAATGACCTTCACAAAGAAGGAGCACAAAGAGACCTACCCAACCATCTTTCCTTCCCGCCCAGAGCTCTCCCAGGCCGGACGAACAGTCCTCATCACCGGTGGCTCAGCTGGCATCGGCTTCGCCATCGCCAAAGGCTTCGCGCAGGCCCATGCCAAGCGCATCATTATCCTCGGGCGCCGCCAGAACCTCGTCGATGAGGCAGTCTCGGAGCTCAAGAAGGAGTTTCCCCAGGTGCAGTTCGACGGATACTCTAGCGATGTAGACGACCTCGCAGACGTGGAGAAGCTCTGGAAGGGCTTCGAGGAGGACAGCACCGTCATTGATGTCCTTGTTCTCAATGCCGCCAAGATTTCGGAACATGGGCCCATCTTGTCTCTTGGGAGAGATGAGGTCTGGAGCTCCTTCACTATGAACGTCCGCTCACTCTTGGATCTCTCTGAGAGGTTCTATAAACAGAAGAATGGCGAGGGTCGCCAGAAGGTATGCAAGCTCAATGCAGTGTGTGACGGAAGCCAGAACTAACAAGATGGCTGCAGTTCCTCGTCAACGTGTCTACGGAAGCTAGTCACAACTTCACCAAATCGGGACCTTGGCCTGCTTACAGCGCGAGCAAGAACGCAGGAACGATGCTGATCCAGATGATTGCCAAGGACACCCCTCCCGAGAAGATGCAGGTTCTCAACTTCCACCCGGGTGTGGTACATACCTCGGCTTTCAAGAACGCTGGGATTCCCGAGGACGTCTATCCGTTTGATCATGGTATGTGTAATCCGAGATCAAAGAAATTGGTGTGCACCTGCTAATCATGCCTGGCTTCTAGTTGACTTGGCTGGAAATTTCGCCGTCTGGGCCGCATCTGAGGAGGCCCGCTTCTTGCATGGCCGCTTTGTCTGGGCCAAGTGGGATATTGATGAGCTCAAGAGCGGCGTGATTGGGGAGAAGATCAAGAACAACGATCACTACCTAAAGGTCGGCGTCGTTGGGCTCCAGGAATAAGATTTCCTTTCGAGTTCGTGGTCACGACAGGGCAACAATAGAGATTCGGAGAGAGACTACACTAAATTTTGTTCAATCTTCAAGTTATACTATCGCTTGCTATGCTCCCCAGAAGTTTGCAATGCCATTCGGAAACAGCCTCATCTAGCTTGAGTCCACGTGCGCACCGGCAAGATTGAAGGAGTCGCGATGAACGCCACGAAGCCCCGAGGACTACCAGGCAGTTGGCATTGTGGGAAAGCTTCAATTACCGAGAAACAATTGGCGTAAGGCTGGAACATTGCGTGAATATAGTGACGGGAAACCTGTGTTCTCCAATAGTGATCCTTCTCGCTGCATCGAGTCACATCCACGGGCCACGAACCCGTAGCTACTCGGCTAACGAGGATAGAGGCTCTCACCAACCCAACTAAAGAACTCCGCAAGTCCAACTCCTGTGACGGATCACTGACCTGCACAACGAGACACAGTTCGACCATTAATTGTCTTTCAAATTTCTCTTGCCTGCCAGTGTAAAGCAATCAGAGGTTTGCGATTGGTCTGAAATGCGTTTTAGGTCCCAAGTGACAGTAGTGAGATTCATTTAGAAAAGCATCATGACTAACCACAGTGAGCCTGTTTGCCAGTAAGCCTCCTTTTTGAGAAACCAGAGGCGGGTATTACCGATCTCGTTTCTTGGATCCCCATCCAGGCTTCTTGAGTAGTGTGCAACAGCCTAAAATAGCTCTAGGCAAAACATCCTCTAGCACTAGCTTCGCCATCTCCCCTGATTTGGCCATCTTAGTGCCTTACATCGAAACGAAACTAGAGCCATATTGAACAAGTCTTCTCTAGCCAACCGTTTCTACGAATAAGCTGCAACTCATCCTCCTTTAGTATTTTGGGTTAGCTGAAGGGCTTGTTGGCATTTCATGAGCCATGGCTAAGATCCTCTCAAAAGCCAGGATGACGCCGTCAGTCATCGGCATGCCGCTTTGACAGCACCCAGCTCACTTCTCATGAAGCTTGTCTTCCCCATGATTGATCTTTCTAGACGTTTGTGCACACTAGGGAGAGAGCACGGCCATGGACGGTGGCAGCGGATTGAAGCCAGGAATCCTTATTTTCATGCTTGAGATTAAGCTACACCAAAGCAGTGTCCAGGGGCATGCGATCCGTCTTCATTCATTCTCATATTTAATGAGATGAAAGCCGCACTTCCGATGACCCGACGTCTTCATCAACTTCAATCCGTTCTTCTAACAACATAACCTGTTCATTGACAATCATTTGTATATCTCATCTCACAGTCTTTACCAGATCTCACACTCACTTCCCTCAACATGTACACCAAGACCGCCTTGATCGCCGCCCTGGCTGGCTCAGCGACTGCCGTCTTCGACGTCAGACCGGACCGCATCCGTCGCGATGTCGTTCCCCGTCAGACTGAGCTCTCAGCCGACCCATGCCTCAATGCCCTAGGCACAGTCTACGCCAACGCACCCACTCCTCCTCCCAAGATTCTCTCCTATGAGATGACTGCTCCTCCGCAAACCAACCCTTGCAGCATCACCGTCCCTGCGGAGCTGAGCGCCGAGTACTCGAGCTACACCTCGGAGCTTCTGAGCTGGGTCGACGCCAACTCGGCCTCGATCGCGTCGGCAGTGTCCGTTTGCTCCACTCTTTCCGAGTTTGAGACCGAGATCCCGCTCTGCACGGCGGAACCCGGCAGTGGTGCTACGGAATCTGGCTCTTCTGCACCAAAGACCACGGCTGCTGGCGGCGATTATCCCAAGTCTACCGGCGAGACAAAGACTGGAGCTGCTGCTGGCACGGGTGCCGGTGTTAGTGCGACAAGTGGCCGTAACAACCCAACGCAGGTTCCCGTCAATGCCGGAACCCGCCAGACCGGCGTGATTGCAGCCGCTGCCGTTGCCGCTGGTTTTGTGGGCGTTGCCGCGTTTTTGTGAGAGGGTTATGGAAATACTTGCAACACGGCAGGAAAGACAAGGCATGAACTTCAGAGGTTGTCAAAATTGTATACGTGAAATTTAATTTTATACAAGAATCTAAGCCGTCCCCATCTCGTCTCCTGATGTCTAGCACTACATGTACTCAGAGACGAATGTAAGCGGATCATTAATCAACCCTTGAAGGGCCTGACGTCCCATGGAGTGGCTACAGCCAGGGCAGTTGTGCACTTAGCCGCCAAGGCAGCCTTACCCTCATCACTGGTGGCCGAAACGCAGGGCGTGCCAATGTCTCCCTTGATACCGTCGCAGAGAATGACGGGGTCACCACCGCACGGGGTAGTGATGTTGAAGTTCTTGAACTGAATGTTGTCGCAGACGGCGTTCGGGTTGGTGGAGCAAGTCAGCTTGGCGACAGCACGGCCATACTTGCCGCTCGAGTATCCAGAGAAGTTCTCAAATAGAATGTTGCTGATGTTCATCTGGGAGGGGTACGCAGCGCAGGTGGTGGCGTTGATGTTGAAGTAGCACGAGTCAATGAAGGCCGTGTACTCGTTGTTCGCCTGCCAGAAGTTGCGGAAGGTGACGTTGTCGATGAAGCCGTAGCCGATGTTGGGGCCGGCCCAGGTCTTGAGGCGGGCGCCGTGCTGGCCGTTGAGCATCCAGACGTTCTCGATGACGACGTCCTTGACGAAGCTCTTCTCGCCAGCGTACTGGCCAAGAGATCCGATGGACTGTCCATGGGTGCCGTTGCAGTACATGGTGTCGACGTGGACGTTGGTGGCGTTGGACTTGGGGGAGAAGCAGTCGTCACCAATGTTCACCCAGGCGCGCTTGACGCGGACATCCTCAACGTTCAGAGAGTCGAAGAAGTCGGTGTTCTTGGGCTCGGCAGTGTGGTTGTTGGTCTCGGCGGTAACAATGACGTCCGTGAAGGAGATGTCCTTGGCTAATATTCTGTTAGCGCTGGCCATCTGGCAGTAACAATGGTGGCACTACTTACAAGTCACGATGAAGGTAGTCCAGCAAGGAGAGTCCTTGAAGTGGATGCCCTCAATGGACAATCCGGTCGCGTTCTCCGCATAGAACAGGATAGGCCGGAGGTAAGCGTTTGTGGGGTCCAGGATCCTGAAAGTTTGTTAGAGATAAGCTTAAAAGCAAGTCAAGGATCTGTCGAAAGCTTACTCAAGACCGGCAAACTCGTTCCACCATCTCTGACCGTTACCGTTCAAAACACCCTGGCCATATAGCTTGACGTCCTTGCCTCCCCACTTCCAGAACATGATGGAGTTCTGGAACGGGTGGTGGAAGGCATTGGCCTGCCAGTACGGGGTGTCGTTGGTGAACTTGATCTCACCCTCCCAGTGAACGTGGATATCATTGAGCCACGTCAGATCGAGCGGCTTTCCAATGATGAATGTCTGGTTGGCGGGGAGGTGCAGAGTGCCACCGTTGTTGGCCAGCTTCAGACCCTCAACAAACTCGTCAGAGACGTCATCCAGATCGTTCTCCGAGGCACGCAAAGTGTAGGTGTTACGGCAGCCCCTGGAGCGCTTCTGGTAAGGGTGCTTAACGCGAAACTCGTCCACGTTGCGAGGGACGCCGGCCGGAATCAACTCGGCCGAGTAGGCAAGGGCGCTGCTGGCAGCCGCCAGGACGGCGAAGATGGAAGAGACTCTCATGGCTACGTGTGGGATTGAGTGGTGAGATGGAAACACACACACGAGGTTGAGTAGGATTGCCAAGTGAGTTGCCAAGTAAGGAGGCTGCTCGGGGGAGGTGATCAGCCATCCAGAAGAACTCCCAGAGCGCGAGCGTCTTCATATACTCGTTCCGCTTGGCAATGGACCTGCATCGCCAAGTCACATTTCTTTCCCAATTGCTCTACACCCCAAGTGATCATCATGGCTACCAACAGCTCTTCGGCTATGAAAATATTCGACGTCTCTCCAAAGTCGGGGTAACATGGCAGGGGAAAAATAAGCAGCTAGTTGGGGCGATAGCAAGCTAGTCTCGCTACGCCCAGCCATCTGGAAATAACCAGGACGCAATGCGCGAAGGAGAAACAACACAACCCATTCCACCTATCAAGCCTTCGTTTCTCCTCTCGTTCAGCGTCCTGGTACTCCCGCATCAGTCCACCCGCGTAATCAGCAGACCGCCGCACCGGGTCTCTCGCCGGCCTCGCAGTAGCCCCAGACTCTCCAGGCTCCCCCAGCCGTGCGCCCATGGGGTTTTGACGGGTTGACCAGCCTCGAACCCCATCGCGACGAGGGGGAGAAGTTGGGGAAGATGCGGGTCAACGAGCTTTAGCTGAGGTGGATTCGGAGATTGTGCAGGTTGCCTGCATGTCGGTTTCCAGGGTCGACTGCGCCGTCTGATCTACGCGAGCAACTGATTGATGGAATTTCTAGACCGTGGTCAACGGAGAAAACTAGCCAACAATCGGATGGATTCGACTTGCGTCGTTAGTCGAGATTCCCCCGCACAAAGCCGCAATCTCCCCCAGTGATCCATCTCTTTGTTGGAAATTTTGCTCCCCTTGTCAGTTCCCCCCCGCGTCGTGATGTGGATGGAGGATTGTGGAGGAACTGTGGAGGGTTAGCCAAGAAAGGACTCCTGTCCGTGGTCCCAACGCCCCAAAGCTTCAGTCAATTTGGTCGATGTCTTGCCCACTTGGCCACTTGGCATTTCCTTTTGCCAAGAAACATTATGTCTTGATTTCCGGAGGTAATTGCCGAACTGAGCGCCAAGGCTTCAATCATGACCACACACCGTCTCTTCAAGCGTCGTCCAGCGATGTTGATCTCAATGATCACAGCTTGCGAGAATATCATCCCCGGAGTTGTATGGAATTGGAACTCAAAGTGGGCAGAGATCATTTATTCTGTATCAAGCAAAACCTCTATCGTCCTACAGCAAGACCTCGGTCCTAGTCACAACTCTTCGAGTGCCAGATTCGCGTTGGTGGCATCAGTCAGGACCTCGACCAAGGCAACGATACCATCCGCAATACTTTCCGCCACCGACAGATCCAAGATGGTGTCGTCATACATGACCTTCAATATGTGACGATCACCTAGCGACTTGGACATCTCGACGACCAGCGCGTATGGCTGGTACATGCGCACCTTCGACTTCGCCATAACAAGCCATCGGTAGCGGCCATTCGGATCATTCTTGGCTGCCGGCTCAAACGGTTGAGAGAGGAACAAGATTCGGTTACCGTGTGTCTCGCGAGATAGATCAGCGACGCCGTAAATATCGTCAAGGCCGACAAGGCCGTTCTCAGTTACATCCCAAAAGTCGTCTTGTAACTTCGCGAGGAAGTCGTGCACCAACTCCTTCGGACCAACGGGCGTTCGGAATGGCAAGAAGTTGGCCAGTGTTCCGTTGATGGACTGAGGATCCGGCAGCGCTACGTTGCGGCCGCTCAGCAAATAGTCAAAGCGGACATCCGTAGCCTCGGTTGCTGCAGCAAGCCAGAGGGAAAACGCTCCTTGAAAGACGATGCTCGGAGTGACTCCAAGGCGAGAAGCTGCTTGGTCGATGTCTGTCGTCACAATCTCTCTTCGTAAGCTGGCAGTGATCTTTGGCGATGGGGCCTTAGCAAGATCTCGGCCATGCAGCTGCTGATTGAAAGGCCCTAGCCCATCCATCTTTGCTTTCCAGTACCCAAGGCTAGCTGTCTTGTCTTCCGCAAAGACATGCTGAGAGAAGTCGCGGAACTCCACTGGTGGCGGTATGATTTCGCCCCGAAGAATGGCGCCAAAGTGGTCATCGAACACACGAAGCAAAGTGCCGTCGTAAACCGCGTGATCCATCTTGATGACGAGATCCCAAGATGCATCGCTATGGGTTATGGCAGCATATTTGATGAAGGGACGACCAAACTCAAAACGAGTCTGCCAAAACTCTTCAATGAAGCTCGAAGACTCTGACTCGGAGTCCAAGGTCACCTTGGTAACATTTAGCTCGGAGCCATGAAGTACAACTCCGACCCAGCCAGCTTCGGGTGTATCAATCCAAGTCGTCCGCAGAATTTCGTTGAGTTCAGTGAGTCGAGTCGTTGCTTCAATCCACGTATCCGGATCAACGTCCGCCGTCATACGTCGGACAGTCTGCAGCGCCCACATTTGCGACTCTCGGCTGCCCTGTTTGAGAAACTCGGCTTGACCGGGAGGGCATGGGTACACTGGAAGAGTTGTCAGCTGGCTTTCTGACTGGAAATTGTGCAAGAGGAAACCTACCATGATCAACATCTGTATCCCATGCTATCCCAACTTCCTGGGCAGCTACCTTGATTGACGGAGGGATCTCGAAGGAGCGCTCGACCACCTCACCGCGTGCTTCTATCTTGCGCAGAGTGGAAGCCATATCCTTCAACTTGGGGGTCTTGAGGATATCAAGCACCGTCAGCGAGTAGCCTACTCGTCGCAACTGGCCCGTGAGGCTGATGGCGGAAATCGAATCACCCCCAAGCGTAAAGAAGTTCGCTTCACGCCCGATACCACTCTGAGGGATGCTGAAGATTTCAGCCCAGATGAGCTCCAGGATCCCTTCTGATGGTGTCTCGACTGGGACAACTTGGTGATTTTCGCCAGGAGTCTCTAGCACAGACTGCGCCAGGTACTCCCGGTCGAGCTCGTTGGCTAGCACTTTGAGTGCCTTGCGGTCGACTTTGCGCGAGGGAAGCTTGGGGAAAGCGTTCATTGGAACAACGAACTTCGGAACCATGTAGGTCGCCAGTGAACTAAGATTCTCGCGCAGTTCAGCAAGAGAGCCTCGGAAAGTTGACGGATCTTGAACACCAGTTGGGCCAACAGCTGCAGAAGCTTCGTCAAAGATGCAGAATGCGATAAGATGAGCCTTGCCTTGGATGGTCGCGGCCAATGCCACTGTATCCTTGACCAGTCCGGAACGGCGGATTGAGTTTTCGACCTCTCCAAGTTCGATGCGATGGCCATGGACCTTGACCTGGTTGTCCTTTCTTCCGAGACACTCGATCTCACCCTCGGGAAGCCAGCGCGCTAGATCTCCTGTACGATAGATGCGCGCACCAAGGGAGTCGCTATCGACGTACGCGGCCTCTGTCAAGTCCAGCTTGTTCAAGTAGCCGTCGGTCACTTGTGGCCCTGCGATGCACAGCTCGCCAACAGCGCCGTACGGCACCAAAGTCTCACCATCTGGGCTAAGGATGAAAGCCATGACGGTTGAGAAAGGAGCTCCAATGTTGCCAATACGATGAGTGGTAACACCTGATGACGCCTCGATGCTCTTGGTCGTCACCACCATGGATGTCTCTGTCGGACCGTAAACGTTCAAGATTTTGCAGTGAGGGCTCCAAACCTCAACAACATCTGGTGTCAGAGGTTCACCACCCACGATCAGAGTCTCGAAGCCTGGCACATCTTCTGGACTGAAGAGCTTCGCGACCGTTGGCGTGATGATTGCCTGCCTAACATCCATCCGGTTGATGCACCCAGCAATGTCGGAAAGTAAAGTTTCGGTCGGCGCCATACAGAGTGTTCCACCAGTGCTGAGAGTGTTGAAGAAGTCTTGAACCGATGCGTCGAAGACGTAGTTGGCGAACTGCAGAGTCCGCCAGGTGCCCTCAAATCGGCCTTCCACTTGTGCCATGCTGGTGACTGCAGCCGCGGCCGCTCGGTGAGGTACCATGACGCCCTTGGGCATGCCAGTGCTGCCAGATGTGTAGATCATGTAAGCAAGATTGTCGGGTGTCGTGCGTGTTATCGGCGCAATGTTGGCATCGGATCCATCGCTCGAGACGGTGCTAAGCGTTTCGTGACTTGGCATGGCCAGTGACTCAATGCCGTAGAGTTGCTTGACGTAGGCTCCGAATTCAGCATGCTGCGGATGGACCACGAGGAGCTTGGCTTTTGTGTCGGAAACCACAAAGCCGTTCCTTTCGTTCGGATTATCTGGACTCAGAGGGACATACGCTCCTCCCGCCTTCATGACGCCTAGAATGGCAACCATCATGTCGACTGACTTCTCAAGCATCAGAGGCACCAGGTGTCCGGTAGAGACGCCATGAGCAATGAGAGTGTGAGCGAATCGATTCGAAAGCTTGTCCAGCAATGCATACGACACGATCTCTTTCCCGTCAAAGTCAATGGCAATAGTGTCCGGAGTGCTGGTTGCGACCCTCTCGAATGCACTATGAAGAAGTTCTGCCTCAGGGACTCGAAGACCTGTGCGGTTGGAGAGCGTGTTGGAGACATAGTCAGTCTCTGCGTAATCCATGACTGAGACCGACGCGAGCTTCATGTCTGGTTGACTCAGCAAGACATTGATGATGTGAACAAACGAGTCTTTGATGAAGTGAAGCCTGCGAGGTTCCATGGTACTGGCCAAACGAATGACGGTTGTAGCAGTCGCTTCCTCTACTTCAAGAACAGTGGTATCAGAACCAGACGCCCATTGAGGTCGACGACCATGTACACGGAAGACTTCTTCGGCGTTTTGCTTAGAAGCACCCCCCGCATCGCTCTGGCTGACGAGAATGTTGACGAGTGTGTCAAAGGCCTGGCTGGGAAGATTTCCAGCACGCAGGGCGCCAACAACGCCAAGTTGTGAATGTCTGAGGAGCTGCGCGAATCCTGACAAAGTCCCCTTCAAGTAATCTCTGATGGTGGAGTCGGGATCTGCTTTGATGCGTTGTGGCACCGAGGTCATGGTCGGACCGTCGATCTCATTTATGTCAACTACGGGAACCTCCCTTCCAGAGACGGTAGTTGCAAATGTGACATCGTCGCTCCTTAGGTGGTGGGAAAGCAAGATAGCCCAGGCACCATAGACGACTGCACCAAGCGTGGAACCGAGCTGTCGAGATCGCTGGCTGACGCTGAAACCAAGTTCAACTTCAACCTTGCTGGTCTCCTCGCCTGGGGAGTGATTTAGCTTCGTGGTCTGCGCTCCCTCGAGATATTCAGACCAGAATCTCTGGCTGGTAGCGCTGTCTTGGGAGTGCAAATGCCTGACAAAGTTGCTAAAGGCTGGCCGAACTGTAGCGGATTTACCCAGATAGTTTGTTGCCACATCTTCATAAAGGAACTTGTGAGACCAGTAGTCGAAGAGTGAGTGATGCATTGTGACCACCAGGACGTGGCCAGAAAGTACTGTGGCATCCCATAGAGGGGCATCCAAGTCCCACTGGCGAGACTTGACCTTCATAGTGAAGGACTCCAGTAGTTCCGAAGACTCGTGCCAAGGAAGTGAGAGATCATCGCGGATAATCTGTAGGAAGGATCGTTTGTGTGGAAGAAATACCGTCCGAAGGATGTCCCGAGAACGAAACACTTTGTCAAAACTGGCTCTCAACTTCTGAAGGTCGACCGCAGCAACGTCCCAAGCCCGTGAGTAAGTATACGGGTCGGATGGCGTGTTCAAAGTTGACAACATAGTCTCCTGGAATGGTGTGGCAGGATAAGCGTCAACGATGTTGACGTCACGTTGTAAGTCGGAAGCAAGACCCGGGTCGGCAATGAGGACGAATGGTTCGGGCTTTTCGTCGGTCTCGGCACTGAATACCTGTGACTGAGCTGCCACGATTTGAAGGGATGCTCCCTCAAGGAGCTCACTCAGCTCGACCGAGAAGCCAGCTTTGCGCAGCTTAGAGACAGCTTTGATAGCTTCAATGGATGATCCACCCAAGTCTGTAAATGAGTGCGATCGTCTGATGACTGATTGCTCGATGTTCAGAACCCTTGACCAAGCCGATGCGATAGCAGCCTCTGCCTTGTTGGAAGCGCCGTCAACCACGTCGTCGTCGCCGTCGCCAATATCCATGAGCCTAGCAAACCCGGAGGCCCCTAGCTTTTCGGCTGAGTTGCGAAGGAAGGGATAATCAATCTTCCCATTGGCATTCTTTGGAATCTTCTCAACAGGAAACCAGATGCTGGGCACCATGTAGGCAGGCAAGCTCTGGTGTAAGAGCTCCCTGGCAGAAACCACCGAGCTCCTAAAGGTGGTGTCGCCTGAAAGAACCAGAGCTGAAGCCAGGGCTTTGCGATCATCATTCAAACTGATGCCAAGAGTGCCGGATGCGGCAATGGCATCGACAGAGCGCAATAGCCGATCAATTTCTGAGGGATCAACCTTCTGGCCATTGATCTTGACTTGCATATCAGCCCGCCCCAAGATCTCAATCTGACCATCAGCAAGTCGACGGGCTTTATCGCCAGTTCGATAGAGCCTGCCGGTACCAAATGGGTTGTCGACAAAGGAGCGCGCTGTGAGCGCTGTCTCGTTGTGGTAGCCTTCAGCGAGCTGTGGACCAGCTAGACAAAGCTCGCCCGCAATAAGGAGAGGCGCAAGTTGATCTTCATCTTGACCTAGAACAAACGCATCTGTAGTATCGGTCGGAGAGCCAACTAAGCGGTGGTTGAAAGTCCCTCCAAGTGACAGTTGCAGCTCTTTTCCAAAGTTGAGCTGGGTACACTCGCTAAGCCCATAGGTATTCCTCAGACGTAGGCCCTTCTGCGCTGACCAGATCTCAACAAGATCTCGCGAGATCTGCTCACCAACCAAGGTGATTTGCTTGAGACTAGGCACCTCATCAGGCTGCAAAAGCGACAGAGCGGATGGAGTGATACCAAGGGAGTCAACTGAGAACCTGTGGATGATACCGGCAAGGTCACTATTCAGAGATTCCTGACTAGCAAGGACCAAAGTGGCTCCATGGATAAGCGTTCCCAAGATGGTACGCTGAGCAGCGCTGAAGCTAGGGTTGTAGAATAGAAGCCACCGTTCAAGACCGTTCAGAGACTGATAGGCTATGCCGCTCGTAGCCGCACGATGTGTGAGAACGGCACCCTTGGGCTTGCCTGTGCTTCCAGAGGTGTAAATCACGTAGCAATGGTCTTCCGGGTGGATGTCGATGCTAAGATTACCCAGCTCATAAGGTGGAGAAGCTGCTAGATTGTCTCCTGGAGAAGAGAGAGTGTGCTCAATATCTAAGGTGTTGGAGAGCATATTGACAAATCGATGGCCAGCTAAGACAGTGGCAGGTCTGAGATCCTCTACGATGTGTTCGAGGCGGCTGGAGGGAGTGTTGGGATCCAGAATGGTGTAGGCCGCCCCGGATTTGAGCACGGCCAGGACTGCGATGACAAGCTCCACAGACCTCTCGGCAAGAATGGGTACGAAGGATCCCTTTTCCAGCTTGAGTCTTCTCGCGAGCAAATTGGCTTGGCTATTGAGCTCGAGAAATGTGACAGGTGCCCTGCCTTCCGACTCAACTGCGATTCTCTGAGGGAAGGCAGCGGCGGTCTTTTCAAACAGATGAGGTATAGTCGTAGGCTCGGCAGTGCGTGTTGACAGGGACTGCGACATGATGAACCGTTGCTCATCTTCAGATATAAGATCAGAGGCTAACAGCTTGCATTCGCCTGCATTCTTCAACTTGGACGCGGCACTGACGATGCCAGCGACGAAGTGCTGCAGGACAACCTCAACCTCTTCAAGAGGAATGTAGGACTTGCACTTAAGAGTGAGTCTCAACACCTCGCTGTCGCTGATGCATAGAACGACGGGGAATTTCCGAAGCCCGGGAGCAATGCATGGCGTATTCGTCGTTTGACTATAACTGACAGCGGTTTCGACTAAACCGAGGCTTGGGGCGTGACGCTGGATCTCCTCGAGTCCTACAAAGGCATGGCGACCAGCTTGACTGTGATAGCCGTCGAGAGTCTTGGAGGATTCACCGATATTCAAGCCCCCATCGCTGTCGACATGGAAGCGGACAGGATATGTTTGATCAACACATCCAACGCAGTTATTTGAGCCGATGAAACTCTCGTCCCGGCGAACCGTACCGAAAGTGACATCGGCAGAGCCGGTATGAGTGCTTATCACATATGCCCAAACGACCTCGAAGAATGTCTGACGCCAAGAGCCCAGGCCGTGGTGAGCTTCAAGATCATTGAGTTGCGTTAAATCCGGTCCACTGATAACAGCACTGACACCATGTCTACCTCTGGCGGTAGTTTGAGTGTATTCATCAGAGTGAACACTGAATACGGATCGGGGGACGAGGCCGGACAGGGCTTCAGTCCAAAAAGCCTTCGAAGCTCCAATATTCTGTCTTTGATGGTGGAGATATCGTATATATGTGGCAAATCCTGCAGTCTCGAGGCTGGGTAGCCCATGGACTTGAAGAGCGTAGTCGAGCTTGATCATGTGCAAAGACGTTGTATCGATCAGAGCACGATGAAAGTGAAGTACCAGGCTGATAGCATCTCGCCGGCGAGTGCTCTTAACAGTCACATAAGCTGGAGTCTGATTGTCTTCATCCGGGTTCTTGTCAGGATGGTCCCATCGGATGCCCTCGACCCTGCGGAGAACTACGACTTGCGGTTGGCCTGAGTCGGTATCGTTCGTGATGTAGGATCTCAGGCAGATATCTGATGAAAAGCAGAGTTAGTTAACACTGAGCTGGTAGTCGGAAGGATGTCAAGAGATATGGGACTTACGGTGTGAGGCTAGAGAGTTCCAAGCATTGAAGATGTTCTCGAGACCAAAGGAAGATGGCTTCCCAGCAAAAAGTTCAACTTCCGCCCATTGGACATCTTCAGTGAGAATTCCCTGCTGAATCTCTGTTGCAGGAAACCTAACTTCAACCTCTGAAAAGGCTAAAGAGCTTTCCTTACCGTAAAGCTTGTCGTGAATGCCGAAAGCAAGGTCGTCAGCACTAGGGAGGAAGAAGTCCTCGTGCTTCTCGATATGGCGGATTAACTGCATTGTAGCAGTCAAAAACTTAAGGGAACGAAAGGTCCAAGAGGGTGAAAAGTGTAGATACGGAGATTGGAAATGCTGCAGTACGGACGCAAAAGATTGATTGTGCTTTTCTAGAATATTGTCTATCACCATTACGAGCAAAAGACTTAGCTTATAAGTAAAAACAAGTGAATCAATGTTAATCGGGAGCGTTCCAACCAACCGCTCGCTGCCCTTCCGCGAGTCCTGCCTCCGATGGGTTTTCTCCTCAGCGACAGCATGGGAGTTCCACAAGCATACAGCTCAAGTTCACTACATCATCATCAACCCATAGGTACTAAGTACACGCGTGGAAGCGATTTTGGGCTTTGCATGTCACAACCTGCAGCAAGTTTCATCCAGGCTAGCCCAAGCATCGCCACATCGTCCGACTTCCGTTTGGAAAACAGATCTCGTCAGTTTTCCAGATGATTGCGAATATAGAGACAAAAGTTGCCTCAAAGATCCAGCAGCTGGACGGAAAAGATCTCGAGTCGCATTTTGGCTCCTTGTGGTAAAGATATGGCGTGCTCCCTTCGACCCGCGTCCCCAACGCGGACGCCAACTTTACGACCTTGTCTCGAATCGGGCCATACGCCGACATGGATGCGTTTACGAGTCGAAATATCGGAATTAATGACCCGTCTGAAACTCCGTAATCCTTCTGACCAGGGTTGTGCAGCTTTGTAGATGTGTCACCGAGACACCATCATCGCGTGATAGATTACCCAGACTTTGTAAGACGCATATCGTGGCCCTCAAGCGTCTAGACAGCTTGAGATTCCACCTCGAGTCAGTCTTTGCGGAGCTTCAGCTGATTTCTTTCCGATGAGGCCGATTCAACTTCCGTGTCCTTACTCGGCGTAGAACATGATAAGTTCCAACAAGGGGCCAAACTTGTCTGCTGTGACAGCACTTTCGTTGCTGCATCAAGAGTCACCTTCGGCGTGGAGGTGGTTGGAAAATGGCTCATTGGAACGTCGAGGAGAGACATTCTCGGCCTCATCGCCGGTCTGGATATGTCTTCTTTCATCCAGGTTCAGTTACAAGGAGATTTCTGAAGGCAATCGGAGTGTAAACCATTAATTACTGATGCACAAAACGGCGGGAACACCGAGACCCGCTGGTTTCAGCCGTCCCCCTCAAGCTATGAAAGACAATAACATGAGGAAGACCATGCGCGGACGATACTCAGATTGATCCTACGAGTCATATCCCGTCACACAATATCCTATTCAAGGGATCTCGTTATACATGCAACTATCTTAGCATCAAGACTGGCATGCTATTCGAAGTGCCGGACGGAAGCGCGGCAGGCGTGACGCTCGTGACCCTTGAAGGTTCCAACCTATGCTGTGCATGAAAGTCTGCTTTACAGCTTGTCTATCGGAGAGACGTAGTCAGTGACAATGGGAATGATGTTACGTGACAGGGGCCGCCATATTACGAAAATCCCGAATGGGTTGAAGAGGCAGGAAAAACATGGTCTCGCTGACAGGGTTGCTGTTCCTGAATCGATTCAGATGCAGTCTTCAACAAAAGTAAAATGCAACCCCCGCGCGCACAGTGTTCGTTTGACTGTGTTCTCCGTGGCCCATCTTCCTTGTTCGTTCTCCACATCAGATGAACCGGAGGCTTGAGCCGCATATTATCGAATCGCTTCAACTCAAACTCTAAGAGATGACCATGTTCAACGGAGGGAATATCGAGCAGGTCATCATCTTCTCATTACATGGCGCCATTGATGGGATGATGCAAGATGGCGAGAAAATGAGATGGTGTTGATGATACTGACAGAAGACGACGCTCTGAACGTCGTTTGAAGACCGGATAGTTATAAGCTCGTTCGTCACCACGTTCTACAACGATCATCTCGTCAACCTTAATTTTCTACTTTTCAAATATTTACAAGATTTTAGCATCTCATCTGCGAACATGGCTTCCTGGGATGATCGTACTGTCACGAACGAGCACTTGCTGCCTTACGTTGACTCGAGCACAGCTCAGCCCGATATCAGGGCTGCTCTCCAAACTCTTCCGTTTGAGAGAAATGTTTTCAAGGTGCGATTGAGACCCCACAAATATCCCAATATTGTAGCAAAAGCTTTGAAATGTCTCGATGTTGACGCCAGTAAACACAGCTTCTTGCAAACAGCAATGTGTTCTTTAAACCTTTCATGAACCTCCTGTCCTCGGCTTGGAGTGAGCAGCGACAGATCCGTTCCACAGATTGGCAGCTCATCGTTCTACGCACTGCAGCCACCTTGAATGCTCCTTACGAGTGGGACGTGAACGAGCCTGTTGCTCGTATCTTCGGATTCACCGAAGAACAGTTCGCTGCTCTGCGCAAGGCCCACGAGCCTTTGCCGGAGGGTCTCTTCACCGCGCGTCAACGCCTTCTCGGTCGCATTGTTACTACTCTCGGGCGCGAGAATAAAGTTGACGAGGATACCATTGTCGAAGCCAAGAATACTTTCAGTGATGAGGAGATTACGGAGATCTTCTACGTGCAGGGCATCTATAGTTTCTTGGCCAGGTTCATGAACAGTGCTCGCATTGACTTTGATGAACCGATCCCAGGGTTGGAGGATCAGTTGCGCAAATACAACGCCAAGACCATTGAGAAGGAGAAGCAATATGTAGACTGAGATTGTGGGTAAAGATTAGGGCCTGCAATTGAGATGCATCATGATACTTAGTAAAATGAATCTCAATGAGAATTGCTAGTGGGACTCCTAAGGTTATTTTTTGCTCTTGATTTGCGTGTTGGACGGATTCTGTATAAGTTTGGTTAAGTAAGAGTACTTCAGGCCCTCAAGACTTGCACACTCTTCGAAAACGATGGAGTCATCCCACGTGGAAACACATGCCCCGAGCTAAATGCATGGATACCTGGGTGGATTTGCTTAAAATTCTCTACCTTAATCTACACACCAAAGCTCAGTGTCTCGCCAAAGTATGGACAAACCCCAGTACGCGCTTTGCATCCCCTACTCCCGCTCCGGAGCCAGAAGAGACGGCAACATTGATGCTCTGTTCAAAATCGTTTCTTCCCTCGGCTGAGATCGGAACTTGGATAGTTTGCACCTTGGGTGTCACCAGTGCACCCTGAGCCAGAAGATCCTGAAACCAGAGGAGGAGAGACTCCAGTTGCGCGGGTGTTCGCTGACTGAGCTGTTCAGAAAGCCGAAAGTTGCGGAACTTAATCTCAGACCAGAACAAGAGGCGCTGCGAAAGACGCAAGACCGCATCCGCCCCGCCAAGGGATCCATAGTTCACATAAGTCCCTCCATGTGAGAGCAAAGACGCGAGTCGCTCTCCAGGCTCCCCGAAGACGCCATCGATGGCTAGGGCCACACGGTTGCGGGCCGCCGCGTCGGCAAGAGCAGGATGCGCATCGGCACCTCGTGCTTGGAGATCAGACTCGGTAAGGACGGCATCAACACCGTCTTTCAGCAGGTCGGACTTCAAGGTCTCCAAAGCATCTAGACTGCGGTCGCGTACAATGCTGACAGTATGGACACCTTTGATGCGAGCAAACTGAGAAACCAGTCGCGCGATGGTTCCGGATCCTATGTTTTGGACGATCCAGTCGCCGGGCTTCAGCGCTCTCACATCCTCAACAAGGAGGTAGGCAGGCAAGAATGCCATGCGAAGGAGCGATGCACCGATAAGATCTTCCGTAGGTGAAAGGCGGATCACATCGGCAGAGTTGAGAATAGCCTGACTTCGCCAAGTTCCTAAACCATGGCGACGCGGGATGATGAGATCGCCGGGCCGTAGCGCTGAGGTCGGGGCCATCGAGGACGAGGATTCGACTCCTACGACCTCAACTCGCGCGACGCCATCGTAACCCAAAACGGGCTCGCCATCGTGGGTGTAGGATGGTTTCACGGGATATCGACCTGCAATGACCAACAAATCTTGTGGGTTGATCGGAGAGACGAGGAAAGACACGAGAACCTTGCCAGGGTCGACAGCCTGAGCTGCACCTTCTGCCTGGGGATAATGGAGTCGGACAGGTGTCGGCGAGTCAGACACAGATTGAGACTGCGTGATGATCATGATGATTGGCTCGAGTCCGAAATCTTGACAAAACAAATGGTGTAAATCAGTTTGGGGTCCAAAACAGAGAGACTTGTTTGCAACCTGGAGTCTGGCAACGACGGATCTGTCCTTGTATTATGGCTATGTGAAAAGGACCATGACATGATTTTGAAGTCTAAGTCACATGTGCTGCTTGCTCATCGTTGCTTTAGACAAGCTTTTCAATCCTCACTCCGTGGGGGGTCTCCCACAACACGTAAACTTTTCCAGGGCGCGATGATGCAAAGCACCCTTGACTTATACCTCATCGACAAATCTGGTCACTAGCCCTGTCAACAGCCACATACTATTACACAGTGCAGCAGTATTAAAGTTTAGCCCTGCAGCAAATCCTAGGGGTCTTCTGCGGCAAAGCCGCATCGCGGGTCTTACTTACGACGGCCCGGACCGGGGGGCCAGGCCCACTACCCGTTGCAAAAAAGATTCGCCATAGGTAGTATTCTCGATTTGCAATGATGGCACTTCCTTATTCGGCAAGCTGATTTCTAATCGCCGTGGAGTTTCTGTTTACTTGCAAAGTTTTGCTTCGATCCTGTCGATAGACAGATCGTGGATGTAGTCAACCCCGCCCGTGTTACATATACGAAGCTGCCATGAAGAGGCCTAGACGTCACGGTCTGACCTCAATCAAACTACCAGAAGATTTCTCTCACAGTTTTCCCTCTTCTATCTACTTCTCTTAACTTTACCACAAAGAAACTACTTCGAAGTCTCTAAAGGCTTCTATCTGGATTCCCAATACAACATGGCTGATTTGGAAAAGAAGGAGGCCGTACCGAGCCACGAAAGCGTCTTGACACCACCTTCGCCATCATCAGAACCGTCAGACAAGGAACAAGCCGTTGACACTCAGGTTCTCAATGAGGCTCAAGATGCTGATCCGCCACGAACTATTCACGGTGTCAAGGTATGTTGTATCATCCTACCAGCCCCTCTCAGCCCCTTCCCTTTCCCCCAAGGCCATCGCGAAACTGAGCTAAGGTATTTGTTCTTCAGTGGTTCCTCGTAATTTGCGCCCTTCTCTCAGCTTTGTTCCTCTACGCCTTAGACAACACTGTTGTCGCTAATGTCCAAGCAAAAGTCGTCCAGACATACCACCGCGTCGATCTCGTTCCATGGCTTGGTGTTTCTTTTGCATTGGCTTCAGCGGCCACGACTCTTCCCTGGTCGAAAGCATACGGAACCTTCTCGGCTAAGAAGTTATATCTTGGGTCTACGACTGTGTTCATGGCCGCCTCCGCTCTCTGCGGTGCCGCTCCCGACATCAACTCCTTCATTGTTGGTCGCGCAATCGCGGGTGCTGGTGGTTGCGGAATGTACATGGGACTCCTCACACTGTTGTCAGTGACTACCACTAATGTTGAACGTCCCAAATATCTGAGTCTTACCGGATTCATCTGGGGCATTGGTACTGTTCTCGGTCCCGTGGTCGGAGGTGCCATCAGCGAGAGCAAAGCCACTTGGCGTTGGGCTTTCTATCTGAACCTTCTGGTCGGTGCTGTCGTGGGACCAATCTACATCATCCTACTTCCAGACTTCAAACCGCAAGCTGGCGTGCCTCTCGCTCAACGATTGGCGCAAATTGATTACGTTGGTACCGTTCTATCCATTGGCGCTATGCTCTGCGTTATCATGGCCATGAACTTTGGCGGGGTTCTTTGGGGTTGGAACGAGGGCGAAAGCATTGGTTTGTTTGTGGCAGCGGGCGTTTTGACTATTCTCTTCGTCTTGCAGCAAGTCTACTTCATTGGCACATCGCGAGAGAATCGTCTATTTCCCATGCACTTCTGGAAGAGCCGAACCATGATTTGCCTTTTCTTCACAATGAGTACGTTTCGCTCCGTCCTGTTTGCCCAATCCCCGCGATTACTAATACCAGACTATCAGTGCTTGCGACTTTCGGAAGCTTCATTGGCATCTTCTACCTGCCGCTGTATTATCAGTTTACCCGTGGAATCTCGGCAGTTGAGACATCCGTTCATCTCTTACCTTTCATCCTGTTTCTGGTAGCCTTCAACCTACTCAATGGGCAATTTATGGGACGTACTGGATACTACTACCCATGGTACATCGCCGGTTCCGCTCTCGAACTTATCGGCGGCGTTCTTCTCTGTAAGTCATGGCCTTATTCTTTCAACGCACGTCTATTGACCTGTGTAATCAGACATCGTTGATGAACACACCTCAAATGCTAAGATTTACGGATACACCATCATCCTAGGCACAGGCGTCGGCTGTTTCTGCCAAGCTGGGTTCGCCGTTGCCCAGATGAAGGTTCAACCGAACGAGATCCCTTACAGTGTTGGGTTCATGACTGTTGGTCAGATGATCGGCATCGTCCTCGGCACGGGCATGTCAGGAGCGCTTTTTGTCAACTATGGCCAACGTGCACTGGCGCAAGTGTTCCCTGATGTCTCTGCCGACGTGATCTCCGACGCCCTCGCAGGCGTGGGTAGCGGCTTGATCGACTCGGCCTCACCCGAAGTGAGAGCTCAGGCAATCCATGGCATCACTCGAGCAATTCAACTGGCTTATGTGCCAATCATTGCTGCTGGAGCAATTTGCTTGGTGTGCAGTATTTTCATGCGCAGGGAGAAGGTCTTCTGATTTTTTCCCGCCTATATTTTTGAGGTCTACGCCGTCACGCATATAACCATCAAGACTTTTGACGTTAAGAACTGCGAAGACAGGTGAGAAACACCATGGAGAAGTTTGAAATGCCATACAGTGTCATCTCTAGTTCCAAGAAGAAATCATCATTCACGTTGGCAATTCTAGTGCAGCGATGCGGCAAGCTCTAAATTGATTCTTGATTCTTGACGCCTGATGCTGGCCATAACACACTGCCTTCTGCCGCAGAACAATAGCCATGACTGAGTTGAACAACTAGAACAGCTACTGAAGGGTAACTGTTCCGGAGGTGGAGTCCTCCATGAAGATGCCGCCAAAGATGATTGCCTCCTTGATACCAGTGGGCTGAGTTGCCGTTCCAACGGGGTTCTTCTGCAGAGAGAAGTGGTATTCACCAAGACCGGCGAGATCTGAAATCTGTTAGCCTGGCAGTCTCTCCATGATTGGGTATGGCACCACTCACCATTGGCTACAGGCTCAGTGACCTGCTTCAAAGGCTCATTGGCGGTGCTGTGGAACACTTGGACGGTGCTACGGGACACGATTAGTCGAATGAGTATTTACTAGAGAGTATATCGTGAAGAAGCACATACTTGGCATTGAAGTCCATTTTGATGGCAAAGTTCTCGAACTGACCCTCGCCGAACGGTGTCGAGAAGATCTTGGCAGCCGGAGTTGTCTTGGAGTTACCAAAGACCGCGATCTCGTTGCCGTTGTCGGCTCCAGTGCGGACATCAATCTGGTGGAAGGAGAAATCCTTGGACTCGAGGTTGAAAACCTGGTAGTCGTGCGTAACATTGAGAGGCTTCGTAGCGTCGCGCTGAATTGAGAAGTGCATCGTTCGGACACCAGTGACGGCCACATCGTTGAGCTGAGATCTGATACTGGGGAGCAGATCGGCACGACGGATGTTCGCCTGAGCTTCACCACCCTTGGGGACGAAGACAGACTTGTCATCAATGTTGATGGCAAAAGCCTTGGTGTTGGTTGCTTTGTCGAACTAGTAGTTGTAAGTAACAATCAAGAATCTCTAGTCGAGTGGAGTTGATACGTACAAGTGAGGCCTGGCCTTCGGGGAAAGTGATGATGTCGCTGAAAACAAGACCTAACCGATACTTAGCTTTGATCCGAGCACGATCAACTAGTATCGAGACATAACTTACCATCACCCTTGACTACAGCACTCTTGAACACACTCTCAAGGACATTGAAGTTCTCGGGTGTGGCGTCTGCCTTGATACGCCCATCAGGTAAGACAAGAGCAGACGTGTTCCCGGCCTTTGCACCAGCACCACCGGCAGCGGCGCCGCCCGCAGCGGCTCCGCCAGCGGTAGCACCGCCGGCATTAGCAGTTCCGTTCTTTGCCGCACCTCCGGCAGCACCGTTGTTTCCATTCTTTTTGCCATTCTGCTTGCCCTTGGCAGCATTGGCGCCGTTGTTGTTATTGTTGGCTCCATTGCCTCTGGGCGCTAGAACAGCACCACCGATGGCGGGAACGGGGTTGGCAGCCACAGAGGCGGCCAAGAGACCAACGAGGGTAAGGAAAGAGGGCTTCATTTTGATTTACGTTTAGGTCTCGAGACACTCTAGAGAACGTGAGAGTTAGTTTCCTGGCGTTTACAAACGAATGGAAAAGCAATGGCCGGCACTGCGCGAAAAGAAAGTAAGTTGCAAAAGAAGAAGGCGAAAAAGAGAGTTGAACCCAAGGAATGAAGAGAGAGTGACGATTACTTTTCCTATTTGCATGGGGCCAAAGGCGTCGCTCATGATGTTATACGCCATCAGAAAGAGATGCCAGAGACCATCGCCATCGTTCCCATGCCATCCGAAGATAGAGTTCAAGACTTCAGACTGCATCTGTCCGCAGACTTGCGACGAAGTTTCCCCTTCTCTGACTCGGAAGTTTTGACATGGTTCTGTAGCGTAGTCTGATGTTTTGGGTGTAAAAGTCAAAATTCAGAGCCGCATTGCGACAATGCTGACACTTGCCTAGGTCCGCGAGATGGTGTGCTGGGCACAAAAAAAAGGAGTTCGGCCAAAGAGGGCTCCAAAAAGTTTAATCGGGCACGCAACTGCTGGAGGAGTCTGGGGCAGTTTTTAGTCGGAGACTTTACGATTCGGCGCTTGTCAAACAGGGGTGTGGCTTGTCAGGGGTCGAGGAGACGACGTGCTCGAGTCAATCCAGGGAGTTTTGGCCAAGAAGTTCGAGTTTCGTTACATGATGTTCACCGTTCTAGGAGGTACGGGGTCATCGTTCCATGGAGTCGGATTCGGGATCTTCGGACGATGAGTCTAAATTTCTCTCCGCCCTACACATATTACTAGCCTGTCGTTGATATTACTGCTCATATGTTGTCTCCCACTCAGGCCGCCGGGCATTCCGAGCACTCCGTCATGCATGCTGCCCATAGAATTACGCGCAAATTCTGCCACAGTTTTGCTTTATACATGTTTGGGCAGGGCCAGGCCACGCAAGATGACTTGAATCACCAATGATTCTGAGAACGGGTGATGCTCTCCGTACGAGGACGCCCGTCCAGCAGTCAACGTGGAGAACTGCGTGATGCGAACGTTTCCGAGACACAGGGCAACTCCACTAATATGTAAGTTCGCGAAGTGCCGTCCGAGGACCAAAAGTTCGTTCCATCAGGTTCCATCCGATCTGAAGTCCGTCTTCATCAATACGTTGATTGACATACAGACCCCAAGAGATCTGTACTGGCTGATCTTATGGCCTGAAGTCTCAAGTTGCGATGAAACCGTCGCCCACTGGGTGTTTTTCCTCAGGGTTTGCATGTAACAATCAGTTCGGGCATTGTAGCACCCCACTGCTCTGGTCACGACGTGCCATTCAGATATCGCTGAGATGAAACAGGCCGATTCTCATCGCCGGTCATCGGCGTCCGTGATAATTGAGCCACAACTGCCTTAGCTATGCTCCTCTGTTTACCAACTCGGGGGAACATGAGCGACTAAAAAGGTTTCTGAGATGACTCATTGAATTGTTGTAGACAGTAGAACCTACAGCCGGCGAGGGTAAGAATAGATATCATTTGTCCATCCATTTTGGGAGTTAAGTCATTGTCCCAATCTCCAGCAGTTCTTTGGTTTAATTGATGTATTAAGCTCCCTATAAATTTGTGTTCAATCCATGCATAAAAGTACATGTAGTTCAAACAGTATCTGAGGTTCAGATGAAGAATCAGCCTTGCCGGTTGGATTTGTCTGTAAATGCAGGAAGCCACCTCAACCACGGGTGTTCTCCGGTAGTAGAGTGTACAACTGTCTCAAGGCAATGAAGCCTGCATAACGATCGGTGTCACATACCTACCTGATGTCTAGGTGGTATTCATTCTCAATTGGAAGGAAGCATCCAGCGATATGTAATGAACACAATAGGCTACAAGTAAGGTACTCTAATATTTTTATCGACTCAGGGCATTATGGGACGCTTATCATCTACTATGAAGTGATCTATATGAAACCTTACTAGTCAAAGACAATCAAGTGAGCCCGGAAGCCAAGATTCCTATCCGCCAAACTAGTGCTGTGCGCCTGTTTATTCGACCAGACTTCACTTGAGCGTGGAACGGGAGTGGATAAGGTGTTCCCCGCGTCTCCATAACTATAACCCCAACTTATTAGCATCTCCACCGGAGCTTCACCGGCCTACACCGAGCTCGGTGTACCCCGCACGGAAACTAGTTCCGATTACTCAAGCGAGCCGAGGCAAATGGATGTAACACATCATGTTTACCCCGGATATCCCCCAACCTCGCTAGCCTCTCGCATTCTCCATGGACTCTTTTTATACATCTCATCAGATTCAACATAACCCTCAAAGACTCAATCCATTCAAGTTGGAACTTAATCACACCTATCGTACGTGGCACATAGCGACTACAACTCAACAACTTCAAAACCTCTCTTCTCAACCTTGAACCCCGGTGAAACAGCCTCACTCCCGCTTGAGCATCGACTCCGCCTCCGCCTCAACCACCTTGATCCACGAGCTTTACGAAGTCCCTTGCACAGGTCAAGTCACGCAATTTGCACCTCCACAATGTCACACACGCCCAACTTCGCCAGCCCTCCTCCCGACGTCGGCCCGGACGCTGCCGTCTCCTTCCCCCGCAAGCATATCATGTTAATCACCCTCAACCGGCCCCGCCACCTGAACTCAATCTACTCGGAACTTCACTACTCCCTCGCCCGGCTTTACGAGTGGTACGACACGGAGCCAACCCTCCGCTGTGCCGTCCTAACGGGCACCGGCCGCGCCTTCTGTGCCGGCGCGGACCTGAAAGAGTGGAACGTCCGCAACACCACGGGCAAATCCAACAACCCTTCTTCCGTCAGCGCAGACCCGGCCCCACAAGCTCCGGTAGTGACGGCCGACCACCCGGACGCCAAGCCAGGTGAAAAGTGGCCATCCACCGCCGGCTTCGGCGGACTGTCGAATCGCGGTGGGAAGAAGCCTGTCATTGCTGCTGTCAACGGTCTGTGTCTCGGCGGCGGGATGGAGATGATCATCAATGCGGACCTCGTGTACGCATCCACGAAGGCCAAGTTTGGACTTCCCGAGGTGACCATCGGTGTCATCGCCATCGCTGGCGCTCTCCCTCGTCTGATCAAGTCGGTGGGTCGCCAGCGCGCCACGGAGATGGCCCTGATTGGGAGAACGGACTACACGGCTGAGGAAATGGTATCCTGGGGACTTGTGAACAAGGTTGTGCAGCCCGACGACTTGATGGAGACTGCACTGGGTGCCGCGGAGGCCATTGCGAGAAACTCGCCGGACTCAATCATCGTTTCGAGAGAGGGCCTGAAGACTGGATGGGAGCCGATGGGTCCGATAGAGGCGACGGGTTTCATTGACCAGACGATTTATCGCAAGATGGAGGCGGGAGAAAACATGACTGAAGGCGTCAAGAGTTTCGTCGAGAAGAGGAAGCCTGTGTACAAGGATAGTAAGCTTTAAGGACAGCTGCGTAGCTTGGTCAATCTGAGGGAATCGTATTATTTCACTCTTGCTGTCTGGACATGGAAACATCATCTCCTTTACTGCTATGCGGTGCGCAGACCGCTGGATATCATAAACCTCCAAAACAAATTGCGAACCCCTTTTCAGCCCGGTGGGTATGGGCCCAACCAGTCATTACACTTTTCCCCCTTCCCTACGGTGGTCTTCAACCTAGTGAGTAAACTCTTCCTTGTTCTCCACACGGAGAACATCTCCAGAGCCGGACTCGGAATCTTTCTCGTTGAGAGCGTGCGACGCTTCGCCCGGCGTGCCCATGCTCGACTTCCAGTACAATTGTACCTTGCCGCCCGTGAAAAGTCTGTCGATCTGCTCCAAGCTGAGGTTCTGCGTCTCGGGGTAGAAGAAGTAGATGAGAGGGATGAAGAAGGCGTTGAAGATGCAGAAGTAGACATAGGTTCTCCACCCAATGCTCTTGATACTGACGGGTGTGATCTCGACGACAAGGAAGGTGAAGATCCAGTTCGAAGCGGTCGCGAGGGCGGCGGCGCGGGTACGGATGGCCAGGGGCGCGTATTCGGCAGGCAACAGCCACGGGATGGCGAGCAGGCCGACGGCGAAGAAGAAGTTGAAGAGGAAGAGCATGACGATGGCGACGATTCCGGCGGGGACGCTGCCGTTGGAGACGGTGCCTGCGAGGATGGCCATGCATGCGCATTGGCCGCCGGCGGCGAACAGCATAAGCTTTCTGCGGCCGAGGCGGTCGATAATCCAGATCGGGATAAGGGAGGAGAAGAAGTAGGCGACACCGTTGAATCCTGCGAGCAGGAGTGAGAGGTTGTGTGACATGCCGACAGATTCCTGGAAGATGACCGGGGCGTACTTGGATAAGTTAGCATCACGGTTCAGGTGATACAGAATATATCGTTTGCTCAAACTTGAGGGCAAACAGAGGAGAAAGCTTACGTATGTGATCAAGTTGATACCACTCAGTTGTTGCATGAACTGGCCACCGATACCCAATAAGGTTCGGTAGAGGAACTTTTGGTCGCCGTTCTTGAACATCATCTTGAAGCTACCAGTGTTGGCAGCCTCTCGCTCCTCTCTGATGGCAGCTTGGATCTCGGCCAGGTTTCGCTCCAGCTTGGGCTCGTTCTCGGTAATGGACGTGGCGTCCTTCTCCACCGCCCAGAGGATATGCTTGGCCTCATCGTGGCGGTCATGGGCAATGAGCCATCTGGGCGACTCAGGCAACACCAGTATTCCGAGGAATGTAACCAGGGCGAACAAGATCTGCAGGGCGAGAGGGAAGCGGAACTGAGCGTCGTTGGAGACGTAGCTCATGCCGTAGTCCACCCAGTATGCAGACATGACGCCAAAAATGTTGATGGCTAGTTCAATAGCAAGACCCTTGCCGCGATTATCCGCCTTCATGAGTTCCGAGTGCCACACAGCTGCCGGAAATTAGCGTCATCCCTAACCGTGATGAGGAGGCCATGAGAAAGTGACTCACGAATAGTACTAGTGTTCATGCCATTACCAAGTCCAGCAACGATACGTCCCACAATCATCTGCGGGATTCCGAAAGCAGAGGCCTGTAGCGCGGCACCGATACTCAGCACGATGCATCCCAGCATGATGCACTTGCGGCGTCCGAGTCTTTCACCGACAAGGAGGCAGAAGATGGCACCAAAGAAACATCCAATCTCGTAAATGGCCACGACGGTGCCCTGCAGCGAAGAGCTGCCGCCGCCGCCGTTGGTGGTGTCGATTTCGGGGAATGTCCGGGTGAAGGCGTAGCCGGTGAGCAGGCCGGACATGACGCCCTGGTCATAGCCGAAGAGGAGGAAGCCGGAGCCGGCCGTGGCCGTGATGGCCCAGTTGAGAGGCCTTCCGACGAGGATGGTCATGGTGAACGGGAGATATGATTGGAGAGACGATGAGGGAAATGCGGCTGAAAGGATGAAGATAACCTCACGCGATTGGGGCTGGATCGCGAGATGAAATTAAGAAGGAAAAAAAAAAAGGAGTTGAGATGACTCGAGGCCAGGGAGGTGGACAAAGAACGGACCCCTTTTGTTTTCACGATGGATGGGGAACGTGGTTCTATATGTACAGATCCAAGCATGCCACGCAAAGCAAAGGAAAAGAGTCTTTGGTGTTGAAGGAGAAAAAGGGTACACTGCAGCCGCTAGCTCCAATCTCTTCTTGGCCAGTCCGTTCTTGTTACCGTCGTTCGAAACAACGTCATTTGATGGCTGCAAAACCTTGTAGAGACCCAAGTGTGTCAAGTCGGCTGCATCTTCTCCCACCTTGAAGATGGGAGAGAAGAGTCCCTCTCTCCCCCCACAAAGAGTACCGCAATGCGGGGACCCCAACGCGGAGGTTGATTAAGCCAAACCAAAAACAACATGCTGACGGGGTGAAGAGGACCAGGAGGGTTGTACTTGGGATACGGTCCCTGGCCTGGTCACAGTTTCTGCGGGCAGTTGGACGCGCATAGTTGGGTGAGAATGGCCGTCCAAATGACTCGCGACGGGGTAGACTTTGAATAGAGTACCGTTGTCCTATTTGCTCCAAGCTCGCGAGTTTCCGGGATGCGGGCGCGAAAGAATTTTCCCCCTCTCAGCCTCCCAATTCTAACGGTATTAGAGACTAGGAAGTATATGGCTACGAACAACGTTGTATGCATTTTCTATATGCAGGCGGAACCGTCCTTCTCGCCCAACCTCCGGATAGGCTTGTTTGCTTTACGCAATTACTTGGGACTCTGGGAGAAAAAGCCAAGGTTCCGGCTGCGAATCCGGGGGGCTATTGCCGGAGGGGTTAGAGTCTCTAGAGACTAAACGGACAGGGACAAGGGTGAAAATCGCCGAGTTTGGGCCATGGCGTAAAGATGCGTGGAGCTGCCTTCTGCAGGAAAATCAAGGAAGTTGAAAGCGCTTTTTTGTTTTTCACTGCGACCGGTGGGATTTCACCCGTTCACCCTCTTTCTGTGCCTCTTCGGTGCTCCGGCTCCCTCCGAGGCGTAACGCCAACAACGGCCGACCAGATATGGCTGAACAAGACTCCCTTCGCGTGTCTTTTGAAGCCGGCGTCGACGCCCTCCCATAATTATTATTCAATTCCAGGAAAGGCTACTCGTAGCGCCATATTTGGGAAGAAAGTAAGCAGGTTGCCGCTCAGCCGCTGGACAAGACCTGCGGCTCGACCTGCCACACACACTCTGGCTCCAAACCACATTCATCAACCCTTGACGGACTTTTCTCCGATCTTGTCGCCAATGCGAATCTGTCCAAGCAGAAGCGAGCATTCCTCTTCCCCGTCTAAGCAAGATCCCTGTGACTTGATGGTGAGACAGGTCTGCTTGCTGCGGGATGATGAACGCCGCAGTGGCAGCACCAACTAACTTGGTGCTACAGCAATCAACGTGGTAGTCTTTCAAATGCCGGGACGCATGAGACCACATCTGATCAGCCACATCTCAAGGTACCTCATCTCGAATGCGCCTCGGGTTGCCGTCCCGATCGCATCACCTGTCGGGGGAAGTACATCTCAGCCATCTCATGGGTAGCGTAACTGTTAGGACCGGGACCATGCCAAATCACCCGCGCTTATTTCATCCCTCGAACCATCCCTAGCAGGAGAAGGGGAAATGAGGTCATCCTCGTACTTCTTGTCTCACCCCAGCAGGTCCCTGGTCACTCCTCCGCAAACCCGCATGAACGCCGCACCATGGGGAGGCTTCCGCCTGCCGTCAGTAAGCCGCTACGGAGTGCTTGGTCTCCGTAGTATTAGTAGTGTTACTCGCGGACAGCTTCCTGGGGATCGAAGAGGGTGGGAGGGGGGGAAGGGAAAGTGTGGAGATGATGACCCACGCCTTTGACCTTGGAAAAACCGTCTTGTCCCGACATCTGGACCCGCCAATCTCGTCCCATGGGGCAGCTTTCCTGTGACCAGATTGGATCCCAACGTCAGATTGTTAACCCGCGGGGGTGGTGGGAGGGGAGGAGGGGCACGGCGCTTGTTCTTTGATGCTAGCCTCGGATTCCAGCAGTTCGGAGACCGCGTGCCTGTCAACCACTGTGACGGGTCCTTGACTGAGTCGCGTGGTTTTTTTGAAGTAATGAGGTATCAGTAGTAACGGTAATGCCACGCGCGGTAGGTATTCTTCATAGACTTGATGCTGATCCGATACTAGAGCCGACACTGAATATTGACGCGTTACGTGGAGGTCTCGTTGCGCCAACGCCTTCCCCAGCGGCTAGAGCTGCTCACACGAGATTTAGTGTCAGAGCACTTCATTCCATCTTTAAATCATCAAAGTAAAAGAAAGAGAGAGAGAAAAACGTAACGTAACGTAAGAAAAGTCTTTGTCTCGTTCGTCACCGGGATACTAACCGTCTCCCAAGTCACCCCAAAACTCCTTCAGGTCATCTGCCCTCCACTTGGTGCCCCATCCGCTCTCTGTCTCGATCTTTTCTAGTAACTCTAGTATCGCGCGATGCTCCGCGGGATGGCTCATGCAACGTCCCGCAATCCAAAGGGGCTGGACGCTGTTGGTCCACGCCCCATGGTGATGATTAGTCATTGAAATTCCGCAAATCTGCCTGGCGTGCCAGAGCGCTGAGCGAGGCCTCGGTGATAGTCGTAGCGAGGCTGGCCTATTCTGCAGCATCAAGAGTGACGCTGTGTGGTATAATTGGTTCCCTGAGATGGCGGCAGGGTTGCTGTACAGGATCTTCGGGAAGGGTTCCACGTCCGATGAGGGTATCGACATGATGTGCTGCATCTCGGATGGCCGGCGGCTGTGCCAGTCTTCGACATATCTCCAAAGCTTCATCCATCGTACTCGATATCTCATGTCATTTCTCGGCCCGTCAAAGAATAGTCCACCTGGATTGGCCTTGGCTAGTGGAGCAAGCAAGTCGAGAACCTGGGCACACAGATAGACTGCGTAGTTGGCCCACATATCGTGACCGGGGTTGGTGAGGAACAAGCCAGCGTCTGTTTCGAGATCGACAGGTGATGCCCAATGGCTGACGGGTATCAAGGTCTTGACCGACGAGATGAGGCCACCGCAGACGTCCATTCGGACAAAACACCAAAATAGCGCCTGCTCGACGCCACCCACGAAACCGTTCATCCCGACGGCCTCCATCAGACTGGCGCAGCCGTCGAGATGTCTGCGCCAGGCTTTGGGGGAACAGCTGGCCATCTCTAGAACGCAGAGCACAACGCATGAGGCTATAACAGCTGTCGTTCGCGTCGGCAGTTGGGGTAAGAGTAGGTGTATCGCTTCTTGATAAAGAGCCAGGCTCTGGTCTGTAGGCCGACTCCTGTCTTTGAGCTCCATTTGCCGGGCTGAAAGAGCTAACATAGAATACCGCAAATGATCGTGTGACCGGGCCATTGTTGGGAGAGAATGCTGAAAGTGGCGCTGATTGTCGAACTTGTCCAGCCAGGGAGAGATCTCGTCCACCCAGTTCTTCCATAGCGCGCACTCCTCCTCCAGTGGAAGACGAGGGGGCTCGTGATCAGAAGATATCTCGCCAACTGTCTCGACCGCCTCATTCGACGAAGAAGGCCCGGAGCTGGCGTCGATGGATCTACGTCTGGAGTTCTGGCCAGAGGCCGGTGAAGCTGGTCTCGTAGGACCATTGGAGCGAACCTCTTGGATGAGATGGTTTCGCAACGTAGAATGGAGCTCGTGGTATGCCGAGCCCGGCAAAAAGATACCATCTTCGTAGGAGCCCTCGGGCGTGAACATCTGGTCCATAAAGTCAAACGGCGCATCCATCATAGGGTCAATGGGTAAGGTTGTGACTGGAAGACCGGTGACAGTGGAAACGGGAAGCTCGTGCGCTCCTTGGCCTGCGCCTCCCTGGCTTAGGTAGATGAGATTTGCAACAGCGCTGTCAGTGATGACTTGTGATGCTGAGGAGGGTGAAGCCTGGAAGTCCATGCGGTCGCCTGTCGGATGGGGTCCTTTGTCGCTCGCCGCATCCTCCCGCCGTGTCGAGGGTGTCAGAAGGGAGCCATAGCCCGGGATGGAGACGTGGTCCGTCGGTGCAGAGCTAGGGCCAGATGAAGATAATGTCCTCTTTGCTGTGCTCGATCCCGCAACAGATGCAGTGTTGCCGCCGGCCGTGGAGGTGGTGTAGGACACGGGACTGTCAAAGTTCTTTGCGTCATCGTCGTCGTGTTGCGGGCCGTGTATTCCGCTCTCGATGGGCGATATATCCGGTTCAAGCTCTCGATCTGAATCATAGTCGTGGAAACCGGGTGGTAGGTGATAGTCGCGGATGACCTCGCTGGTGACGTCGAGTATCTCAAAGTGACGACGAGGAGGCGGCCGCCGGGCCTTCTTCATCGACGGGTGATCCTGCAATATCGTCTGGGCGTTCTCGGCCCGGAATGTCACCTTGATACCCCATTCGCAAATCTCCTTCCGCCTTGAGCACCCACCGCAGGCCGGACGGCCCTCGTCACACTTGCGCTTCTTGCGGCGACAGTTGAGACAGCCCGTCCGGGTTCGGGTCCTCTTCTTCTTTGCCGGCGGAGGTCCATCGGCCGATGCCGTGGCCGGGTTGGTCGGGGGGCGTGGGCCCCTGTCATCGTCGACAACGGGAGACGGCTGGCGGTGCGTCTCGTCGTCGGCGGCCATGATGGAGTCGAGCTCATCGGCACGAGCTGTCGGCGTGGTCTAGACCGTCTGGACTCGGGCATCCGAATTCGCAATCCGTAAGCGCAGCGGCAACTCTCCGGTGTGGTGGAACTTGACACAAATCCGCCGCAGAACGGGTGGTGCCGGGGGTATGTCCCCCTCCACAATTGGAAAGAGATAAAAAAAGGGAAACTGGTTGAAAGTGGAAAAAAGGTTATGTGAGATGTTCGTGGAGCAAAAAGC